ATTCAAGTATAACGGATACCTGTAGGACTTAGAGAAAATCCTAAGGTCAGAAACTCCAACATGTAGAATCAGCTGCCGCAGCCTTTCAACTTAGACGTTAAGATAAACAAAAACGAACCCGGTGACAACGTAAAAAAATAAAGAGCGTATTTCTATTGCATTATGTGCAAATGCTGATGGATCACATAAGCTAAAACCTTTGATTATTGGAAAATGTGCAAAGCCATGGTGTTTCAAGAATATTAATATTTTCAACCTTCCAATGACCTATCAAAATAATGCCAAAGCTTAAATGCTACTAACTCTCTTTCAAGAATGGCTTTAAGGATTCGATTTACAGATGTTCAAAAAGCATAATAGTTAGCGTATTTTGTTACTTCTTGACAATTGTCCAAGTCATAAGATAAATAAATTAGTTTTTTCACATATTAATGTTTATTTTTTACCTCTAAATATAATATTAAAGATTCAACTAATAGATGTTAGAATCATCATATCATTTAAAAGAAATTATCATCGCCATCAAATTCAATAGATGTTGTATCAGATTGAAGCTGGTGAATCTGTACAAAACTTGAAAATGAATATCTTACAAGGCATTTGATATTCTATTCAAGCTTAGAATGAAGTTAAAGTTGAAATGATTCATAATTGCTAGTGTTATACCAAAATCCTTCCTGTTGAAGAAAATGTTAAAGAAAATGTTATTGAAAATGACTTGCTGCTTGAAGAACTTTCTAATGTATTTGAAACTTTTAATTTTCCTAATGGTATACAAGCAGAAGAGCTTTTAGCTCTCTCTGAAGAAGATATTACTTATAAAGTTCTTGAAGATGATAATATCATTGCAGAACTTATAGATATGTTTAAAAAGAAATCTGATGGAAACCTAGATAAAGATGATGATAATGTTGAAGTAGAACTTATTAGTACAAGTGTAGCATCAAAAAGTTTAGAGACTATTTGTGTATTTTTACTTCAGCAAGAAAATGTCATTGAATATTTAAAATCTGTAAATATTCTTGAAAGATTTATTAGAGAAAAAAAAAGCAGTTTAATGAAATAAATTACTTTGGAGTAATTTTTTAATATTAATGAATAATTGCAATATATTATCAATAGAGAGGAATTTTTTTTTTATTTATCAATTTTTTCTGATTATCTGAGTTTTTATTTGTAGCTTAAAAATTTATACTAATTTCAAATCTAGTTAGCTGATGTTCAATATAATAAAAATAAACAAATTTATTATTATCATATCATAAAAACCTATTAAATTACATATTTTTTCTTAATGCACACTCTCTTTAAATACACCCTTTCATCCAGTCCTAAGAAGGATGCATTTAGAGAGGTTTGACTATATATTCAAAAAAGAAAACATATTAATTTTTGTTTATTGTTTTTTTTTCAAACAAATGTGAAAAAATATAAAAGAGTGACTAGTTGCAATACAGAGCTTACCATATAAATAAATAGTGCTGACAAAGCATATATTATAAAATGCTGAAGACTTTGGAATTTTAAGATTGCTAGAAGTGAGATTAACTATATATCTTTTCAGTAGATCTGATCCTTTTAGAATCTCTTCATGTGAAAAGGTATGAAGATTCTATTTGCATATGCTTTTATAAAGCTTAGCATCAGATGACAATACTAATTACGTCTTGTATCTCCTTAACTTTTTTCTTTTCAATAGCAAGATATAAAACATTTCAGACAAATAAAAAGAAATGAACTGCAGATCAAATATTTGGGAATGACTATTTTGATTATATCTATGATTTATGACTATATATATGAAGTGGTATTTTATAATATATACTCTGAATGGTATTTACTATACAAGTGGTAGTAGAATACCAGATTAATCTCACGAAATAAGCCATCAAAAAAAATCCTGAATTACTTTATAGCAACGTGAAAAGGGTGATTGGTATCATTGTAGAGTTGTTAAAATATCATGTTAGTGTAGATAGTTTTCCAGCTAGCACGAGAGTTAGAATCAAAAAATTATCAAAAAATAATATGTATCATGGATTTAGTTCAGACCTTTGTATTTATTTTTTGCATATATTAATAAAAAATTTTTTGAGACAGCCCTGTTCTGCAACTTTTAGTTGGCTAAAAACACGTATTTTTTTATTTTGAATGCTTATATACAGTATATTAGATCATGTTATCCTCGTTTAAATTATTGAAATAGTATATCACTGAGCTTGAGGCTGAGAATATTGAGATTGCAGAGCTCAGAAAGGAAAATGTAGAGTTTAAAAAGAAGAATACTGATTTTAGAATGAAATTTGCTAACTTTGAGGTTAAGAGAGCTGAACTTAAACACAGAATTGTTAAGACTCTAAGAATAACTAAGGAAGAGAGAATGAGACGTTGTGCTGAAAATGTCAAACTTAGGGTTACAATTAAGGAGTTGAGGAAAAATAATACAAAAGCTTAAAGATAGAATTACGAAAGTGGAATAGAAGTAGACTCTAAATAATAATTCTTCTAACAACAATTCATCTAACTTTAATTTAGTTGCAGATCAGGTGCCAACAGTAATACATCATAAGAAACCATTGGTAGATATTTTATTACTTGAAAAACTGATACCAAAGACGAATTACCAAAGATAACCTTTGTATCAACCATTAATATACTTATTATAGACCAATGTGATCAGACATCTTTGAAAGATAAGGAAACAGATGCTTTCTTGAATGAAATGCATAAGAAAAAGGTTAGTGATGAGATTAGACAGTGCAATAGGAAGAAGAAACTTCTGCATAAATTGGCTAATCAGGAAGCATTTTCAATTTCTCAGGATATTTCTTCTGTGAAAAGTTATGATGATCAGAGCAATTTAGAAAATTCAGAAAAAAATGGAAACTTTATCATGAATTGTGATGATCAGTAGAAAAATATTCTGGCCATTACTACATCTCAGAAAAATAATAATGATGACATTGAATTTACTAAAAGTTAGCTTATAGAGCAAGAATTAATAAAGGAATTGCTCAGCAGTAACATTTCTGCTTTATTAATCTCTTTTAAGACTACAGAACAGATACCTTTAGTGTCACATCTATCATTATCTCTAGATATGACACAAAACTTAGTCTATTTATTCTAGAATACAATATAAGCTGGATACGAGATGATCTTATTTTAGCTCTATTATTTAAATAGTTTTGAAAATAAAGTTAATGAGATTTGCTATGACACTGAGACTTCAAATAAAATAGCTAGATTACAAATATACAAAGAAATGCTAGAGCATCTATTCAGCATCACATTGGAAAACTTACGTATGAAAACCCTACAAGCTAAAAAAATCTGTATATTATTTAGGAAAGGTGGAGTGGAAATAGATAAAATTAAGCAAGTTACTTTCAGCGTTTATGACATATCAAGCCTTATTATTAATCAAATTCAAAGTGTTATCAAGAATGTGATTTCAGCAGGAAGGACACTGGAAGTATCAAATCATAATTATGTGATTTTCATCATGAATCGTGATGATCAGATTAATGTTTTAGCTGAGGTAACCACAACTTATGACTGCACCTATTTTCGCAACAAGATACTGGACCAATATCCTAACTTATATAGAGAATTTAGTAGTGAAAATTTCAATTATTATGGCATTACCAATATGATATTATGCCCATTATGCAAGTTAAATCATAATGAAAAAAGTATAGAAGGTAGGTATAAATCTGGATCTTACTTTGTTAAATGTGAACAGCGTGAAATTGAGATAACTGCATAGTCTCATTACCCTTTTCTTATATATCATAGATACTTCGAAAGATGATCTAATTATTTTTTTTTGGAAATATGATAAAAAATATTAGACAGCTTTCTATCTGGGAATTTAAATTGATCTGTAATCATAAAATAAGCAAGTATTAACCCCTGAGTATCTGGATTGACATGCCAAATTAAATGGTTTACCAAGAGTTTTGACGGATAAGATCCGTTTCAATTTATACAAAAAATATAAAAGAGAAATGGGACTTGAGCCATGGCAATTATCAGAAGGTCACCTTTTCATAAATTCAAAGCCAGAAAATAAAGTATCCAATTTATCTTTTTCTGAGCAATGTAAAGAAAAAGGGCCTATCACTTTCGAAGCCAGACCCAATCCAGAATTAATTATCAAATCCGTCTTAGAGCACTTCCTATACTTGAAATTCCGAAATAATTTTAGGGGAATTGATAATTATAATTTTGCATCACTTCAGCCGTGGAGCTCACCATGTCCTATTTGCGATAGAAAGCATGGGAATTACGGATTTAAATTTGCGATCGTAACATAGAAACTCCGTCATGTGAGACCGATCACCTGAAATGCGCAGAAGATATTCGGATAAAATTGTGCGACGTGAAAAAAACGCGCTCATGATCAAAGGGGGTGATGTATTACACAATTACGAAAGGTATTTATATATAGTTTCCCACTATTTTTTTCTAAACGCGTTGAAAAAATGAAAACAAACTTTTTTAGTGAGTGTTCAGATTGGACACTTTTGAACTTCCTAAACTTTCGCCTGAAGGAAGAAAATTGGACTGCCGATAAAACAATACGTATACCAGTACCTTAGGCAATATTACAGCGAATTATTTGGGCGAACACCAGTCTAGAGCAGATTCCGCTTTGAAAACTTTTACAGTCAAGCGATAAAGTTCGTTATTTTTGTAGGGTAAAAAGGTGGGCTTGGAGGCATGTCAAGCATGCAGACATCCTCAAGTTGACCATCGTGTTATACCAACATCACAACGCTTGACAATCTGAACAGGGAACTGTTCTAGGTTAGGTGGTTGTTGAACTATCATGTTCGATGTTGGCCACTTTTTTATCTTTGGTTTAATATATTTCATTTTGTGGAATAGTCCATGCTCAATAACTTGAACAGGTTGATATAACTGTTCTAGTTTCGTGTTCGGATTGAATCTATGTTAATTTTTGCACATTTTATTTTGATAGGCTGAAGCTAGAGGAGAACAGGTTTATCGCTTTTGGGATACCATCCTCCAGGAGAAGCAGAAGGTAGGTGCCGTTTGTCACTGATGTTCATCAAGCATCCGTCTTTCGCTAAAGATATATTCTTTCTTCTTTTTTCCCCAAGTCAAAACTAACAGCCATTGAGAACGAAAAGATGATTCTTCAAAAGAAGCAAGATGTATTGATTGAACGCGTAGCATTTCAACATGTATACCAATCTTGTTAATCGTAGCATTGTGCTCTCCCTTTCCTTACGCCTTTCTAATTAAATCTAATTTTACTAGGCCGAGCTGTTGCATACTACAGCACGGGAAGCTGGAGAGCAATCGCAGATGATCCAGCAAGAAATTACCGAAGTAATACGCAATCGGAAACCTAATAATTACGACGAAGATATTTTTCAACCCACTGTATCTACTGGACAAAAGCGAAAAAAAACCTATCACTTTCGAAGGTTAGGATATAACGATAATATAAAATACCGCCTTGAATTTTATATGAGCGTTTTTTAATGATTATTTCTTATATCTACAGAATAAAGAATCGGCTGTCTCGACTGTTTCAAAGAAGGTGTGTATAAAATGCAACCCTGTGATTAGGAGCGAATTTCTTTAAAAAAATTTTCTACTATTTGTTGCGTGAGCAGGTTAAATCCTTCAGCGAGGATAGAGTCGAAGGATCTACATTATATTATAATACGTCATCATCATCAAGTAATGGTTATGATAGTCCACGTACTCCGCCTCGTCAAATACAGCAGTCTACATCAAGGAATCAAGACTTAATTAGAAGATTAGGAGAAGCGAAATCGCGAGTCAAATCACAAATGTAAATAATTTGAAGCCTGTCTAGTTTGAACTAATATACTAATATCATATTATTGGTTATCCAACTAATTGTCCTTATATTCATTAATAGAGAACCGATTTGTTCGAATATAATTGACACCACAAATAAACACTTAATGGAAAGACTGCAACTTGATCATGATTATCATTGGGAGACTATCATTAATGATGCGACCAAATATATTGATGAACTGATTGAGAGTGTAGGGTTCAAGGACTTTTATGAGTAATTTGCTTTTACTTCCAATAATTATATCAGCTTGACTCATTTTTTCTTTACTCTAGAGTAATAGTCGCAGTAATCTCCGTCAAAAACTTCAAGTCTCATTCGTACCATCAGGAGAAACCTATTCATTTGACAACATTATGAGATGAGTTGGGCTCACCAGTTCGCTGATAAATTGTAGGTCTAATATGCTGTTTCGGATAGCATTTTGCACTTTATATGTTAAATGTTTGCATGTGATCTAATTCTGGCGCTTACAAAAATTTGTTTGCCTCCTTATTCTTGTCACTAGGTTGTCTTTATTTGAAGCTCCACGAAATCCGCTTCTTGATAAAAATTCCGAAGGTTGGATCAACTGCCATCTTTTGGCATTACTGATCGATGATTGTTTCCTAACGTGTGAGGAGATCCAAGTTCACCGGTGAATATGGAAATTTTCTGTTAATTTCTTAGCTTTTTATCTCAGCATTCCATTCTGATTCTGATTCCTTATTCCAGCTGTGAAGAAATGTCTCTTGCCTCAATTATGCGCAAAAACATACCAAGAGAGGAGTCAGAAAAGAAGAAATCAGAACACAAAATTGATATTATTTTTCGTATAGATGATATGGAGTATTTTGGCGCAGAAACTTTCACTGACGAAGATTTTCATAATTCGAAGCCAATTTCTTACAAACATAAATTATTTAGGGAAATGAAAGATCAGTTAGATTGTCTACTAAAGAAATTGAAATTCACGAAAGAAATGATCAAGATGGTGAAAAATATTGTTCTGCATGGAATATCCCACGGAGGTAACGATAGAAAGACAAAATTTTTTATTATTATAAAAAGTTAGTAAACCTCATTTTATACATTTGAAAAAGGTTATAATGGTACAATGTACTCTATGTACTATGATGTGGACATCAGATATTATTATGTGTTTGAGTCATGCCAATATCGAATCGGAACAATATTAAAAAGTGTCTCAGAAAGCCTCGTTGTATTGTTGATTTGCTGATTGAATTTTCTAATTATTTCTTTCTGATGATTACAGAATAATATAATTGGTGTCCTTGAGGTTGTTGATAAAGTAAAAAAAATCTCTTTACGAACAGACTTATTTAATATTGAAAATCTTTCAGAAACAACACCAACACCAAAAAAAGATCAAAAGACCCAAAAAGAGTAGTATATAATTTGAGGTTAGAATAACGTTTCACTTTAAAATTATTACCTTCATTTCTAATATATAAATGCTATTGCACTTGTAAACGTAAATGTATATTCTTAATAATAAATAGTAAAGTTTCATCCGCTGTCATTACAAATTATAATCCCAAAATATTAAATCTCATAAATATTTCTCCAGTATTTATCTTGTAGACAATTGAAATCCATATACATTCTAAGAGTGAAAAGTGCCAGGAAAATCACATGACTGATCATTTCCTGGGGGAACGGTTTTTTTTATAATCTAAAATTTAGTCAACTCGCGCTATGTGAGGGAACTTTGTCATGTGAAATCGATAGCCTGAAATGCGCAGTAGTGCAGTGCGATAAAATTGTAAGACCTAATTTAATCTACATTATATTACTCTACAAAAAATTAATGTCAGTCTAATTCTCACCTAAACCTTTATATTTATCGAGGTTTGTTGAGTGACATTTAATTTGAGTAGCGTAATAAAACACATGATACTGCTGTGAACCTGAATCACAGTATATGTTATGTGCAGTAATACACAGATTTCTTAGATATGGGCATATGATTAGCCGGTAGATCTTGCTTCTATTAATAAATTGGCCAAAGATTTTTTTACTCAAAAGATCCTGGCATATTTTTTTTTACGCAGTTTTGAATTACTAATAAAAAAACACATTTGATTTACATGCGAATAGTAAGACAGAGCGTCGTTAAAAAGAAATTCAAAAATGGAAATAGAGCGATTAGAATCTATGATTTACAGATCCTCAGATAAACGCTGTTATTATTCTAGTTTTATTAACGCAATCAATTACGTGTATAGCTAATCACATACTAATTAGTTTTTGGAAACTCTTTATTCTGAAATTTTTTGCAGGAGTATAAATGGTATGTAATTTTTTTTATCTAATTTAATCGGTTAAATTCTCATTTCAACGCGTAGTAAGGCAGTTTTATCAGCCCACAAATAAGCAGTATACTATATTTGAAAAAAGGCTAGAGCATTATAAATCATTCACATAATCAAGAATATGGATTACAGTTAACACATGCATCTCCTTTTTTTTTCTCATCTAGATTAGTCTGCTTATCATGGATTATCAGGAAATTTGCATCAATGCTCCCATTAGTTTTATTCCTAGAATGGCAAAAATAATTATGCAGATTTATATGATATTTTTTATAAATATTCTGCCTATTTTTTCCTTTCACAATTCGATCCTTATTAGAGGGAATATTCATTATAAAACAACTTTGAATCGAACTGTGTCACAAACGAATAAAACTTCTACCTTCTTAAATACTTAAAGCAAGAAAAAAATATTTTTTTTTCTTTACCTTTGATCTATACACTATAAGCAGTTTACTGAAGTGAAAAACGTCTCATTAGATATATATTATAGTATTATGGTTCTTCCTTCGATCTATGGGTATCATTTTTCAGATACAAATAAAATAAGTAAATTGGGATAGGAGAATAGAAGCTTTATATATTATAGTATATTTATATACTATACATACATCAGAAGATCCAATGAATATTTCAAAAATTTTTATGAATAAAAAACTTTTCTCTTATATAAGGCCTCATGGCCAAGCATTTATAAAAAATATTTTTGTTATTATTATTTATTACTTGAACATGTTATAGAGATAAGGGGTATGGGATCATACTAACTTTTTTTGTCTTTAGGTACAAGCATCAGATAGGATCTTGATAATTTTTTTTTTTTAGAAATAGGAGGTATATACATGATATCATTTTTATATATAGTGTTTTCAACCAAATGTTTCAGATTCATATTTTGACGTAGATTTTCTATTCTAATATATATAGGTATTATTTTATCAAATGATTATAAAACATATAAAAGGATTATTTCTAGAGAAGCGCTTTAGTAATTCTTTTCCTCCAACAAGTAAATTTCATATAAAACTAATAAAACAAAAATTTATCTAAAAAAATATTCTCAAATACAGATATTTTCTTGATCGCAATCTTTAGCGTCACAATTGTAATTTATAAAATGGTAACCCATAATGTCCTTACAGTGAATATGATCCAGGCATTTTTTCAAAAAATGTAAATATTTATATAATCTTTGCTGTTACTATCTTTTTTTTCGCAAATATCTAATGTGATCAGAAGATAATAATCTTAAAAGAATAGTCTTAACATTAAGCAATAAACTTCAAAGAATACATATAGAAGCTGAATGGAGAAATGATGTAATATCTCAAGGTAAGTCATGCATTACAGAGGAAGAAAAAAAATATCATGTCATGTATATATACTTATCTGTGCCAAACTGCATCTTATTTTTTTTCTAGCTAAATCAAACCAATTCTCTTTCACAAGTCATATTTCTATAGGATAATATTCTGAATATATGGATAAATATGAAATATACTAGGTTGAGTTTACTATCCTTTTTAATAACAGAAGGAAAAGAGAAGCTCATTTACTAATACAATTATACAATATTTTATTAATCAAATCAGACTTAGTGCTAGCATATTAGCTAGTTTTTATTACCATTAAAAATCACTAAGAAGAACTTCTATGGATAAAATTATCGAATAGGTTGAAAGGAGGAAAATAAGAAATCAGTTAGTTTTTCTGATAATAGCAGTAATAATAATAGTAGTAGTAGCAGTAGCATTAGAGAAAGTATCGGTGAAGATAATATTATGAAATAACTTGATACTGGAACTCTTATTTATGGTTTAGGATCTGAGAACTTACTTTCTCTTTGATAGTATCATTTATTTTAATCATTACATTCCTCCAGTTTAAAGGTTAAAACCGGTTTTAATTTTAGAAACCAGTTTTTCATGTTATAAAATTAGAACCGGTTATATATCGGTTTGAATCGATAAATCGATAAACTGATTAAAACCGATAAATGATAAAACAAGAAACTGATAAACTGATTTTCAATATATTTTTTCAGCTTGTCGTTACTTTTTTATAACATAATAAGATAATGAATAAAAAAAAATAATAATAATAAAAATGTAGATTAAATCAACAAATAATTAATTTAAAATTTAATTGTTCAATTAATATAATATTATTTATTATATAAATGTTTAATTAATAAGTAATTCCATTACATTTAAAATTAAAATTTAAAAATTAAAAGAATTAATTATTAAGTACTAACTATTATGATAAGTGTTAATTATTAAATTTCTTAAAGCAGAAACATTTCGAAATGTGTATTATTGCGTTTTAAAAATAATACCTTATTTATTAGATCAGGTGATAAGCACGTTCGTTTTGCAGAAATATGATTTTCAGTATCAGAAAATAATCGTTCGCTTGACACTGAAGTGACAGGGATCAAAGATATTTCCTTGCAAGTTGCGTCAAAATGAAAAAACTATCCCTATGATTTATCCACCAGGTTAAAAGATCGTCTTTAACTTTAATATTCTTTATATTTTTATAGCATGATACTTCGTCATCATCATCTGTAATTATTTGTATGCAATCACCTTCAAGATCGTAAAAAAAATCATTGTTGTCGTCATTCTAATCCTTATCTTCTGTTAGTTCTGTGTCATCTGGAATATGAAAACTTGATTTTAATGCATCATATTTTGTTTTTACTAATTGAAGTGCTTTATCACGTTCATCTAGAGTCGCCTAATTAAAATGTTTATAGATCAAGAAACGTGGCGATTAAAGTATTATCAGTCAGAACGGACCATAATTCATCTAACGAAAGATAAATTGCAGCTCAAACTTTTCAATCAATCCAGTGGTATCAACTGATAGTAAGTATTCAATTTGATTTATATCCTCAATGCTTTCGATCCTTATTCGTTTTCTAACTGGTCCCATTCGAATTTGTCTTCTTTGACCACGGATTTTCATCCTTTGATGAAATTGTCGATGTGCATATTGCTATTGTTGTCGAGTACCAGCAGCAGGTATGTCATTATCAGTTATTTCATTGTCACTTTCTTCATAATTTTCTCCGTAGATAAGATTAGATAAGATTCAATAGTCTCTTCTTTATCTGATTTCGGAGCAAATTATTTTTTAAGAGATTCTATAAAAGGATGAATAAAATTAAGAGTAGGATAGCTTGTGTCATACAAATACTGAGTCACAATTTCGATCGGTTCTAATAGCTTTACTACATTTTGTATAAACCTACAAAATAAATAAATAATAAGAGTTAAAAATTTGAATTGTATTTAAAATATAAAATTTATCTTTTTTGTATATTAAAAAATAAAATGAAACAATTGACAATAAAATTAAATATAAAATATGTATTACTCTTTTTCTGCAACTGATAAGCAAAGCCGTTTTAGTTTTTCATCTTCTTTTTGAGAAGCACGATATGTTTCTGAAAGAAGCGAAGTTAAAACAAATCTCATTAAATTATGCAATTCTAGAACGCGCTTTCAAATCAGATAGGTAGAGTTCCATTATGTCTTGACATCTGTTAGAAGATCGAGAGGACTTTAAATACAATCACCTTCAACTTGATTATTTTGCATTTCGCATAAACGTTGAGCCTGCTTAGGAAGCCAAAAAAAGTTTGCAAACTTTTGATACGATGATGAATAGCTTTACATTATTTCAGTCCCTCTTGGACTGATAATTGTAAAGTATGTACTGCACAAGGTTGATATTCTATACCGCTAATATAATTACTATTTAATAATCTTATTCCCTCCACCATATTAGGACCATTATCTGTAGAAATGGTAAAAACCATTGTTTGAAGATGCCATTCAGAAATTATTTTAAATAATTCTTCACTAATTACTTCCCCAGTATGTGGATACGGAAGATGGTTGTAAGAAAGAAAAGCTTTTCGAAACTTAAAATCAGAAGATAACCAGGAAGCTATAATATCTAAATAACCATGTCGGGACTTTGCAGTCCATAAATCAGTAGTCAAATGAATGCTTATTACGCTACTTCGAAGTAATGAGCTAAGTTGATCATAGCTCCAATTATATGCTTTATGTATTAGCCCTTTAGTAGTTTTAACACATGGAATGCGAAATCCTGGCTTACACGTGAAAATAAAATCACGAAAAAACTTATTCTCCAAAATATAAAGGGGCAAGACTAAATAAACAATAAATTGTATTAATTTTCTCGCTAAAAAGTCTTGTCTTTTAATTGAACATGGTGGTGCTATTGCTGCATTAT